TGTGTGTACGTGTGTGTGCGTGTGTGTGTGTGTGTGTATGTGAGTGTGTGCGTGTTTGTGTGTGAATGTGTGTGTGTGTGTGTGTGTGTGTGAATTTGTGTGTGTGTGTGTTTTTGTGTTTGTGTGTATATGTATGTTAGTGTGCGTGGGTGCGTGGGCGTACGTTTGTGTGTGTGTATGTGTGTTTGTGTGTGTGTTTTTGTGTACACGTGTTGGTATGTACCATACTTCATGTATAGGACTATTTGCTTGAAAATACATCTCCACCATACCTGGCTCTTTAGTAGTTTCTTTTCTGCCTCATGTCGCATACGTGCCTCTGCTCTCTGTGCACGTTTGCTTTGTAGCTTCTCTTTCTGTTGCCTTAGCAACGCATCCACCTCCCAATTGCTTCGTACTCCATTCATACTTGCAATACACTTTGAGAGATTTTTTGTTTTGCAATGTTTTGTCTAGTATAGGTCAGTATTATCACTGTAGGTCAACTATTAGTCTTAATACTATTAAAAATATAACAGTCAGATTAACAATATATTCCTTTCGTTTGTAGCCACCCAAATTATGCCGTCAGCCAAAGTTCTCCTTCGTATATGCTTCACGGAAAGCATGAAGTATTCACGATTATTTGATGTCTATCAATTTTATTCGGGTTCCCTAAAATAAGCGAAGCTGACCTATATGTAGCTACAACTACATGCATATGTAACTATATATATATATATATGTGTGTGTGTGTGTGTGTGTATATATATATATATATATATATGATATTGAAGCAAAGTGCCTGGGTGCAATGCTTTATTGTTCCTTGACCCTCTGGACGTCTGTCCTGTGGGATTTCGAATTGAAATTCTTCCCCGTCTTCCGATGGATAACCCACAGGAAACTGGAAACCTATATATATGAAGACTTCCCAAGTTCCAAAGGGTCACGATTAATTGATTATTCGTCATAGATGCTCTTTCGATAAGGAGCGAAAAACCTCACAAATGTTCAGGACGCCAAAGATTACAAACTAAGTTTATCTATTTCATGGACAGATAAACCCATCATCAAGAAGTGGTTATAATTAGAATCATTTTGCAAGCCAGTGAGAATCGTGTAGGTACAGTTTTTACCAATTTAGTCTGTACCTTGCCCTGGAAATTTAGAATCCGAAACAATCTGTTTTGTCCCGATTTTTCTGATAGTCGACACTCGTGAATGCTTATTCAAAGCTCAATTCCGATCCAAAAAAAATAGCTGGCCGTAGGGTGTAGGTCCTGAGTATGTATTAAATTTGTATAGGGAACACTATGAGAGGAAATTGATCTAAATATATCGAACTTAATCCTAATTTATTTTGGCTTTTAAGTATATATTTTAATCCAGAGACGAGAGAGTCCACAGTCCAGGAGTACAATGGGCCAGTCCACAGTCCAGGCATGAAGTGAATGTTCCCATTTGGATATAATTACACTACCATAATCGGTTTGATTGTTGTAACATTGGAGACTTCGTATAATTCAGTATAGAATATATGCGTGTGCATCAGTAGTGAACCGCGAAGCTTGCTTACACATAGTCACATATAACCTGTCTTTGTATATCTCTACATAGATAACACAAAATGTCAGACGAGGATGAACCCGTAATTGTAGAGGTCGAGGAGGAAGAAGAACCAGAAGAGGAAGAAGAAGAAGAAGAAGAGGTTGAAGAAGAAGACCCCGAAGATGTAAAGGAGGCGGTACGTTGAGCGATGACCAGATGGTGTGCTGGCTGAATATGATATTGATAATTGTATAACATCTAAGGATATATTCATACGTATATACATGTGTATTTATATTTATGTATATATTTATGTGTGTATGTATGTGTGATGAATGCGAGCATGCACATTATATGTATATATGTGTGTGTGTTTGTATATGTATGGATATATATACATATTATGTGTGTGTAGGTAGGTATGTATGTTTGTATATATATGTGTGTGTGTTAGTGTGTATTTATACATATATATGTGTGTGTGTGTTAGTGTGTATTTATACATATATATGTGTGTGTACGTATGATATATATATATCTATATATAAATATATATATATATATATATGTGTGTATGTGTGTATCTTTATATATTTTTTGTGTTTATTTATACAGTATTTTTATGTTTATGCATGCTTCGAAGTATATAGTTTATATGCAATTATTTATCTTCTCAATTATAATATCAGGGGGAAATCTGTTGTATAAAGCTATATGTTACATGTACAAATATAACCATATGTATAGGTTTCGATTCCAACAATTGATTTGATGTATGTATTCATGAATTTCTGGTTTTGATTTGAGAAGCATTGCTAAACGTGTATATGTATGTATGTGTATATACATACAATGTATTCATGAATTTCTGGTTTTGATATGAGAAGCATTGCTAAACGTGTATATATGTATGTATGTGTATATACATACATTTACTCAACTTGCATATCCGTGTATTTGTAGATTCTATGGGGAATCAACTGTGCATTTTAAGTTTCAGGCCGAATCTCATTACTATGTTTATATACATACTGGAGATCTACCTACAGTTTTACCTTCTGATGTCATGATTGTTGAACTAATATAGATTTGCATAGTCGGTCGACTTTATGGGTATATTCCTGTTCTGGAAAATGTACGTCTTTACGCCTATATCATTTTATAAATATATATATATTATTCCATTGCTTTCGAGACTAATGTTGCTCATTGGTATATACTTGCATTCACACTAGTATGCTGAACATCATATTGTAATAGTGTGCATATATTGTGTTGAACCATCTCTATATTTTATACCTATATATACATACTTCTGGAAAAGATTATGCCTAGCGACAAGTGCGAGAGCAAACGCATCTATAAATATACGGATTTCGATCTATTTGTATACGCAATCTGATTCGCTCACCGCACTGGAACAAACGGGTCTTTAAACGTGAGTTTTTAATATATATATATGCAATCTGATTCGCTCACAGTTGGACGAGGAATGTGGGGAAGCCGCATGTGCCAAATACAAAGCCAAGCTAGACTCGTGTACGGCGAGAGTGGAGGGCGATGATGAGACAAGCGAGACCTGCACTGAGGAGTTCATTGATTTCATGCACTGCGTCGATGCTTGTGTAAGTATTATGAATGAGATGTATATATATATACGGGTATATACTCGAGGATGGAATTCAGATGTATGTTTGTTTTTCTATTTTGGGGTGGAATGCACTTTGTCGATTCCTGTGTCTGTATATCCCTTGTAGATGATAGAAGTAGATTTGTACTTGACATTCTAAGTAGTTCGGTTGCCTGTCTGTGTGCCATAAAATACATATATATATGCTATGGATCTGTGTATGTGCGTAGGGATAATGTACGTTGTGTTGTCACATGTCTGTGTTCGTATATTACTTATATTTGCTTTTATATCTATGCTGGAGGACTAATTATCCTCTGCCATATGTAGTTCATGCTCTGTTTCCTTGTATGTATATGTCATGATATGTAATCTCGCGTTTTAGAGTTGAACTTCAAGTGATGAAGCTATGTATCTGTGCCCAGCAGCTATGGGTGTGATGTGATGCTAGCACATAATTATATATTTTACATATCCATTTGCACACAGTCTCCAATGCACCCTTTAAATAAAAAATATATATAATGCGGTTTATGGCCACATTATGTAGGACATTCAGTTTGTGGGCATGTATCAATTAGTCCAGTATAATTTTGCTGAAACAAACAACGCACGCATATCTGAAGGTATGTGTGTAAATCTATTTCACTCTGTGTATTCCATATGCACCCATGGACTAATCGGACTGTCTTCTCCCGATCTCCTTCCCCTTCTCCACGCAGACGGCACCCAAGTTATTCGCCCAGCTGAAGTAAACCTGTAGGACATGTTACTAATATAGCTAGCTGTGCGCCTCCTAGACAGCTCTGCACCGTGTATACTTAGCCAGGTTTACATAGTACCGATCTCCGCAAGCGAGATAACATCGGGGAAACGCCCTTCCACCTGAACACAGTAAACGAGCAATCTTGCGAGTCTTTTGTAGATATATCTAATTTGATTCCTTAGCATGTATATGTGCCGTTCATAGGTGCGTATCACTTGTCTGTTTTTCCAATTTGAGTCGCTCGATGCTCTATGCACTTAGCCAGGTTTCTATATTACCTGTATTTGTCGATCCTTTTGTACCTGAACACAGTAGACGAGCGATCTTGCATGCAAGTCGTAAATGTATTTAATTTCAATCTGCCACGTGCATTTCTGTTTAATGTGTAGGTGTTGGGTTGGAGTGACGTTGCCACTTCGAGCTGCAACCCCTAAAGCTATTCTGTGTATCCTTAGCCAGGTCTATTTGTTTTCGATACCTATCAGTCCCTTCAACTTGAGCTGTGAACACAATAACGAAGCGGTTTTGAAAGTCTTTCGTAAATACATGCGTTCATTTGCGTGCTGGATTGGGGGGGGGGCATTTGCCAATCAGAGATGCTCTGTTGTGTGTACTTAGCCCGGTTTGTTTAATATCGATCTCTGTCCGTCCTTGGTAGATGAGTCTAGTCTTTCTACGAGTTAGAAATACCTAGAACATCTAGAATGGAAATTATCCCAAGATGCGTGGATCCTAGGCTTTGTCTGATTGGTATTGCAACCGCCAGCACGATTACATAGACTGATGTAACCCTGAATGGATCGCTTGCAGTCCTTCTCTGATATTAAAGGCGGGAGTGTTGTCGTGCGTAGCTGTTCAAATCGCTCTTGTTTTGTTGGTATGCGCACTATCAAAAAAGCAATGTGCTAAAAAAAAAATACCATCTGTCCCCGATGGGGAACTACAGAGTCGATATGATTCTCGGCAGCCTACCTGCTATAATAGTTCATAGCATCTGATAATTACGTTGTGTCCCTTTGGCTAGTCCTCCGTTGGTGAGATTTTGAATAACGGTGTTGTAGTCGAGTAAATGCTGTAGGTATGATACTGCTGCATACAAACGAGTCGGTTGAACGTGTGTTCTTAATGCCTGTGCGATACTGTCGGGATAATGGACGGCTCCTTTGTCGAGTATCGTTTGGTCTCTACCGTGTCGGACTATGTGAGGCCACCAGATCGCTTTCCTCCAGTTCGGAACGATTGCGTGTTATGGACGACGGACTAATCGCTGTAAAATTTGGCTAAGCATGCTTTCCGATGGTGCTAGTCACTCGAGGGTTTGGTCTCACTTGGAGTGACAAGGATTGGCGAAGCTGATGTGTGCTTGATGTGCCTTCTCCCAGTAATAGTTGTCCGGGTATTTCCGGTCGGATGGATTCCTCGCAATCTGCCATTTCCGAAATAGCTGAAGAATGGCCTCCGATGTGACTACTCAATGATACTTCAGGGTGTTGGTGACAATACCATACCAGACGCCTGAGTTGTGCATTTACTAATCGCAATTGACTCCTGTGCTATCAGAGTGCGTGAAGCGCCGTCGTGAAATCCGTTAAGCAGAGCAGCGGTGTCTTGCCGGTGCTGTTGTGCTTGTCGAAGTACTCGAATGCCAGCACCAGCGATTTGGACTCGAGTACTGCTATCGGCCAGTGTTGTTCTATTGGAAATTGTAGGATAAGGTCGCTCCAAGGTCGCTCCGAGACCGAGCTTTGATGCATCTGATGTGATCGTCGCCTGGTATGTTGGGCCAGATCTGTCGAGTTTGGAAGATCTTGATCAAACGTTCGATTTTCTTGAATACAGCTTCGGATAATCGAACTCGGGAGTGGCACCATGTAGTCGTTTGCTGTAAGTCCGCGATAAAGGGACGTAAGCCTAGTATGAAGAAGCCCACCTATTGAAGGGACCATAAGAATGATGGCCAGAGCTTTGTTTTTGTTTGCGCTGGTTCTTCAAGCCTACTGTTCGAATGGCTTATTTGATGTATAGACCTTCACAGTATCGTTGTATCTATGCATAACGTTATTCAATGGCCATTTTTGTCAGATTTGAATAGAGGCTGTATGGTGAATGAATAGAACACATGCACCTGCCGATTACATGAATTCAACTACTTCCGACTTGTAAATTGTAGCATTGACCGTAATGACAATGCTGCGCGGTAAAGGCCAGGGGTATGATAGTGACAGTACCTATTGTCTGAAATGCCCATAGAGAATCTTGCTTGTCGTACGCATTCATCGTTAGCGCCCCCCCCCCCCCTTTTTTTTTGTACATCACTTGCTGCTATAACGCCAACTACATGTCCTTGCCCAAACTGTGATCGTGATCTCATTTTTTATCCTTCGGATCATATCCTCGTTTTCTAAACGCCGACCTTGCATCTCTAGATGATTCGTACAAAGGTAAGCTCATAATTGCAGCTGTATTTCGAACACCCAGAGATGTTAGGTAGTCTACTTTACTATTGAACGAAACACAACGAGCAGACCTTGTTCTTTCACTTGTCTAGAATTTTTATGTTCCATCTTTGATATAATAGTTGTGAGTCATCCCATTCTACAACCATTTGCATTCGTTGCTAAAATCCGCCTAGATATATAGCAAGACATTCTATATATATATATATATATACGTTCAATTCGACAAATAAACTAATGGTTGCGTACAAGATCGGCGAGATCTTTACGGGCGTGGTTGACTGCGACGGCGGAAACATTTCCTTTTCAATTTCGTTCAATAGTACTTCTACTCATATTGAACAATTATGCCATGTTTCCAAGACAGGGCGGATAAAACGCTCGAGAGTTTACGACTACAGAAATTAGAATAGTGTTTTTACATACTTGTGTAAACTTCAGAAATGATATTCTCAGTTTTACCATATTGAAATAAAGATGACAATTAAAGTCGTTTAAGATGTGGACAAAGTACCCTAGGCGGATATTTAGGACCGGACTTGAGGACCGGACCGATGGGATTATTTGAGGACTGGACCTGAGGACCGGACCGGACCTGAGGACCGGACTGGACCTGAGGACCGGACCGACTAGTGGAATAGAGAATTTAATGAGATAGAAGTGATGACTCATACGAAAAATAGAGACGGGTATTTTCATATCACCCGATGGTAGAGAAAGTCTCGTTTCACATAGGATCGTGATTAATAAATATAGCAGGCGCGCCATTCCCAATGGCACTTCTGACTGAGTTCACTTATTTCAGAATTAACACTCTTAAATCTCTTTATTAAGTGTTACTTGGTTTTGACCACATTTTTAAGTGACTGAACTACTGTTTTTATTACATTACGTTCCTCACAGGTTAAGCCAACTAAAATAAATTAGTTATGTATTTTTTTGTTACACGATGAGAAGAAGTTACTACATGAACAAGAAAGCCAGTGTTCGATTATTGAAAGGACTGCTTGGAATTCATCTACAGTCGCCATTGCATACTGATGAGGTGGCGACATAGTTATCCTCTGATTCAATATCGGATGAAATACCAAAGCAGAGGTCTATACTACGCTAGACTATTCGATTATCTGAGACTCAACAATCGATTCCCGCGTTGGATAAAACCATATAGCATATGACAAAAGGGGTTTTCAAGCGGAGCGACTACTTAGGGCCCATGACACATATGCAAAACGCTAAGGAGGTTATTTTGCTATTTCGGCTACTAAAACAAAAATTGCGGAAATTTTGTCTTAAGGCAATGATACAGTCTAGACGGATACGGACCATACGATTGAGAGGAACTCAAGACAAATTTTGTCAGGTGCCGACCGGATTATACAAGTTCTGAACTTACCAGCTATACGCATGGGTCAACTTTATATTTTTGTCCATCTAGGGCTGCGCCAGTCATCACTGTACAGAAGCTCGTGGATGCGATTGTTTCAGCTAAAATATATGCTGGTGGCTAAAGGAAAACACTACAAGCTAGTATTGTGTAAAACTGATACGGAGCTGACTTGGAATTTTAGGACGACATATGTCGATCGGATATAAAACTTGTCGAAGGTGGAAGTGATTGCTTGGACACATATTCAACCTGTCGAAGGTGGGAGTGATTGCTTGGACACATATTCAACCTGTCGAAGGTGGGAGTGATTGCTTGGGCACCAAAAGAAATTTGCGAAGAGACTTTATTACTATGGTTGGGGGCAAGCTTTGATGTAAATTTTCTAAGGACGTTATTAGCTGCATAATAAAGTTTCCTAT